TACGCGTTTAGGCATCGCTCACCTCCACGTTCTCGATTTCCTCTGACGTTGTTGATAGTGACAGGCTGTCCCGTCAAGGCAGCTATCGCTATCGCGACTCTTACAACCTGTCCACCGCCCTCTCCTGTTCTTCCGTCTAGTTCCACAGGCTTCATTTTGTCGCCTCTGTTGATACCTGGTGGGTGGGCTTGTGTGGCAAGTTGAACTTGATAGGCCGGAATCTCGTTATGGAAGGTCAGATCAGACAGAAGATTTAAATTCTCAATGATGTACCACCATGAAAACAGCGTGAACAACAGTGAAGTAGCATCGGGCGATTGTCTATATATGGTATTGAAAGTCCTTCACCATGCAGCTGCGACTCACTAATGTGACTCATTGCCGATGAAGCTAATATCTTCGTGGATTGATAGGCAGGCAAGGAAGTTCTAGCAGACGGTTCAGAGACAGAAAAGGTTATAAATCCTCAACAACCCAAGCGGACCCTTGAAGGTCAACCTCGAGAGTGCACAGCTGTAAGAATGACTGGCAACAGGCCATCTGCAGTCATGAATAGACCAAGCTGAATCCCCGGCGTCTCCGAGACGGTCTGACACGAGTTCCGGTGTTTCCTCTTGTCCAGTGAGAGGATTTTGAGACGGTTATATATTTGAAGAGCCAAGCGCCCGGCTTGGTAATTCCCAGGGTAGCTGTTTGCAACAGGCAAACATGTGCGGGTACCCGAAAGAATGCAAATTGCCGGAGGCAGCTGATGGTCTCGGCGGAGTGGGGCCGCCGGTCCGGAAACACGGACTTTCGAGTGGCTTCACCAAGTGCGCCATTTGATCTCGTTTATCGTTTCCCCTATTTATCCCATTTCTTCATTTTCGAGTTTCTTTCCGCGCCCTTCCCTTTCCAATGAACCTTTCTTTACGCCGTTTTAGCTTGTGCTACTCAAGCGTTTAAGCATAGGAGACTGCAAGATGCTACTCACACAACATAAAATACACCCCACGGCCCTGGCTCAGCCACAGCGATGATCTCTGTTCTTTTCTCAACTATTGGAGATGATACGTTCTTTGCCACGCCTGACTTTTACCAAGCGTAGCCGGTGTGGCGGCTTATTGCGACGTTGACCAATTGCCATCGCCAATTGGATGATGATCATGATACCCAATGAAAGGGATGGAGAATGGTCGCGGAAAACAAGTTGACACAGCCTGAATCATTTACGAATTGGTTGCGTAGGCATGACGAGCATTCGATGTAGGGACCAGAGTCAAATACAGTTGAACAAGGACGCTGAGAGAAAGTAACATATCATTGCAGCTCCTCGCGTTTCAAATAGACGACCAACACAAGCGAAACAAAGAAACTACCAGGCTCTCAAACAGTCTAGGAGAAAGCCATCCCAAGCCAAGACAACTCCTAGCTAAAGCAAATAACGCATCCACTAGCCCTATCCTAGTCATTATCATCCATCATAAGCATTGGAGACGTTCAGTGTCTTCCTTGCACTCCTTTTCATCCTTCATCTTTCATCTATCATGCAACCCGAAGCACCACGCCTGTCTGAGCCACCTGAAATGGTTCTTTCCTGATTCTTCAAATCGTACCTCAACTGCCAGCAGCGGGGGGTGCCTGCCCTTCGATCGAAGTTTACGTATAGAAACTGGAAAGACTGCTGCCTACCTTGGCAAGCACGACAGAAGAGAGAGCGAGCGCACTCGGTGTGCCTTCCGGAAGTCTCTAGCGCCATGTTCACTCCCAGCCCCTATCCCTTATTTCCCCAGAGGCTGGAAGCCAGAAGGACATGCTTCACTCCTCCATATCTGTGTCATCGGAAATCTCGAGCATCTTGTCGTCTTCGAGTGCGACCGAAGAAGTGTCTCGGTCCAGACCAAGAAAGGCGACTCGATCCAAGACATAGCTAATGTCTCTTTGTCTACCGTTCATTCCTGGTCCAGTTGTTTCATCGATCCAGGAGTAAAATGCCTCGTCATTAGGTTCCTCATCATCGGTATCGAGGTCCATCGGTTCACAGGACTCGTTTGGATCAACTCTCTCCTGGCTTTGGCCATTATCGACAACCCGCCATCCGTGGTCAACGCTACTTAGACATTAGACGTATCACTGTCCGGGTGGAAGCAAAATTGACAAACCTGTCACAGCTTCCCTGGAAGGCATGGACTTGTGAGAGTGTGGGCACAGAGCCATCCCTGGTTTGACCATGACACGACGGGCCGTCCTGTTCGACAACATCTGGGAGAGTCTGCACTGTTAATATGCTCTTTGTTGAAGGGAGATACAGTAACCCATAACTTACCCTGGCTTTATGGTTCTCATATTTGTCTGCCGTCTTAGGGAAACAGGGAGAGGGAGATTGACGGCCTGGCCCTTGTGCTTCCGAAAGAGGTCGAGAGACTACCCCGTTACCATAGGTAGTGGGACTGTCATGGGACACTGTTTCGAGATCTCCGTCATCATACTTGTAGGCAAGGTCACAGTTGACGCATACCCAACGACCATTCTTTCTCTCACATGCTTGTGAGCAGGTACTGCACACTGGAGCCATGGGCCCGCGAAGCTCAGAATGAGGATCCATGGTGGGACGCATCAAAGCACCCTGAATAAATCCAGTGAAGCCCCCAAGCTACCAATATCCTTCTTGCCTCCAGTGCTGGCAGCTGTACCAGAGGTTGAAAGATGTCACCAAGACGGAACTTCCGGGGGATGGGGTTGAGGAGTATCGACTAGGGAGCTATGGGCGAGATTCTTTCGGTTGCTGGAAAATAGTATGGGATGAGTCGCCGGTTACTCTGTTTCTATCAACAGAGCAATGCTGCCCTTGACAGAGAAGGCTAGAAAGGGCTGGTCCCAGATGTGATAATACACAGGGCCCCGCACAAGATCACGGTGTTTTTGCGTGCCTCCGCAGACACGCCTAGCTGTTTAATGGAACCGAAGAAGTGACAGGCCGATGAGACGAGACGCTGCAGAACGATCAGCAATAAGATATGTCGCCAAAGTTGATGATGGTGCCGATATCGATGGATGAGGTTTGAAAGACGTGTTGGCAAAAGAGTCACTCGTCCAGCTAACTAGTAAGCTCACGACAGGGGTACATGCTACTGTACATGTACTGGCATAAGGCAGTGGCAGCACCGATCATCCCGGCAGTCTTCGAATTTTGTTGGAGGACACCCGAAAGTAGTGGATCAACGAAAGAAGCAATCGACATGAAGAAAAAGAAAAGGGAGCATGTTCGTTGGTCGACTTCGAGTGACAGATTCGTCGTGTGTCGAGGTTAGCGAGTCCTTAGGTGGCATCCAACCAGATGGCACCCTCGAGTCCTTAGTACGATGACATAGGAGCCCAGGCTGCCTTGCCTGGGGGGCCATCAATCGATTGGAGAGTTATTAAACGAGGTCTCATAAGTGGAAGATGCTCATGGGCGAGGCACACACCATGTCCTCACTCATAAGAGCATTCCAGGCCGTCTGTGGGGATTAAACGAAACAAAGGTTGAACGAAACAAAGGTTGAACGAAACAAACCGAAACGAAACGGATGCGAAACAGAACAGAAGGCTGAAGCCACACCTACTGACCTGGACATGACATTCGCCAGTGCCATGGTACCGACCTGAATCTGCCACCACTCGACAAGCAAGACTGACCAGTGCGGAGCTGCAAAAGACTCGCATTCTGTGGCCAGAAACAAGAGTTTGAGGAATAAACCTCGACAGTGGACATATGGGACTACTTAACATCTTCTCCCCTTAAGCCACTCCCTGATCTGCATGCATTGGCCCTCAGGAATACAGTTTCAGCTCGGAACCTTCATTCCCAGCACCGAGATTCTCTAGTGTGTGAGACAGACCCTCCATATTTTATGTATTGGGGGTTGATTGTCACCAAACATCCCTCAGCCTGATTTCCAGCTGTGGATGTTGGTGGCTGGCACCCTGTCAGAGCACATGTTTTGGTGCCAGTGGAGGTCTCAGCAGACGGTAGCGTTTGTCGCAAGTTCCCATTGACGTACAGAGCTTTGCAGGCTTTCAAAGTATTCATGCGATAAAGCTACCGCTGTCTGAGTGCAGTTGGGGGCTTGAACGTCTACTCAAAAGGGTTTTGCGTTATCGAAGACGACAGTGAGCTGCTTGACTCCGCCAAGGATCTCCAATCTACAGGGGTCACGTCCAACATACTAGACTATACGATGAGCGTATGCACAAGACTAAGTTGGCCAAGATGGCCAGGCTTCAGATCAGAGCCAGTGACGGGTGCCGCATCCCACAAGCTACTCTTTAATCAACGGTCATCACGATCAATGCATGTCTCTTCTTCATCACGTACATATTGAGACATGCGCAGCGAAATGCCTTTAAATGACTCGCAGTTGGCTTGGCTGATTCACTAGCCTGTCCACTGGCAAAGAGCGTGATATGCAATGGAGGAATCACTCTCTGTCAAGTGGACAGACCTTGGGTGTGAAGCTGCGAACTTGCATGCAGTGTATGCACTATTTTCGGGTGCATCGCGCTATTGTTTTTTTTCATGCAGCCAACAAAGTTGGATGGTGGATGGAAGACACGACCCTCCGTGGGGGAATACACGGTTGTGGCTTATTACACCAAAATTCCCTGGCGATTCACCCTATTGGAGACTAACCAGCCAACATCCGACTGATTAGTCCCGCGATAGCCTTGGTAATCCAGATCAATTGCATTAACTAATTGATAAATAGTAGTCTTGAGAATATAAGACTTCTACACAATAGATTGGACCCCCCTGAACTCGAAAAACAATCTGATACTGAAAGCTATTCATACACAAGGCGCACCAACCAGCCAAAACACCAAAATCATATAGCAACGGGTGTTCCTTCGAGAAACGACAGAAATAGCGATTTGTATGAAACAAAGGGCATGCCAGGTCGAGGCACAGGATAACGTGTCCAAGTGCCATCAGGCATCATGCTAACGCCAGACTTTGCACTCTGTTAATTTCGACCTCTCTTTCACCGCTGTGCTTGTGAAGAGCTGTCATTTTGGTCGCGATAGTCGATGGTTCTGGGATAGCCAGAATAGCCAGGATAACTTTGACGAGTGTGTTGAGGATATCGCTCATCCCTCTGAGTCTCACTGGCCGAAGTGCTGGTACCGGCAGCCCTCGTAAACTGGCTGTCAAATTTTGAGATAGTGTTGGTACCACGTCTGATACCGTTCTGTTCGGCTTCGTCAGGAGACGATTCGATTCGAACTTGCTGGCCGTTCACGAAGTTGGTTGTTCTTTGTCGAGGGTCATCCATAGAGTGCTGGACCCCTGGCAAATTTACTTGGTATTGACCACCAGGAGTATCGTTGGATCCCTGGGTAATACGACTATTCGGAATGGATTAGCTAGTGGTCGTTGTCTTTCCAATGATATCACCCTCACATACCTTCCCTGGTAGGCGGGCTGATTTGATGGAGCATAGGTATAGCTCAGTGTGCCTTGACTTGAGGCTGTTTGTTGATACGATCGGTCCTGAGGAGGATAGTAGGTTGTTCCAGAGTGTTGGTTTTGGGACATGTGTTGGTGCAGCCTGGCATCCTGGGGTGCAGTAGTCTGGCGCTGTGGTTGCGGCGCTTGCCTTGCATGGTTCGGGGTTGTATTCTCGCCCCTAGACGGGGACACACTCGCATCTCTGGCGTAGCGATCTCCGGAAGAGGTCATGGTTGTTCGACAAGGATTCTCAGGGGCAAGAGCCAGCTGGTCGTGAAGATATGAGAACAGTTAAGAGTAAGAGGTGGGATGGGTGTATCTGGTGGGCGACAGACTCTTGTGACGAAACTTTTAAACTGGAAAGCATCGCATGGCGGGCATGAAAGGGGTATTAATGCACCATCTCTCTGTTCCGCGGTAAAGGGCTTGTAGCAAGCTTGGGCAAGGTTGATCGGATTACAGAGATGCAATATTTCACGAACCCGGTTTCTTTTGCACAGCATCACTGCTTGTCAAGCCCGATATTCGTCAGACATTGCTGCTTTGATGAAGGCTGGACGTAGTACAGTTTGCCAGCGAATTCGCCTAGCAAATTCTGCCAGTTTGCGAAGGTCAGCCACGACAACATGTGCTAGGAGAATGAAAGGGGTATTACAGAACATGGTCGATTTACATCAGCCTGGGGCCGTACGAGAGGCCGTTGTGGCATGAAAGAAACATGGACAACCCGGGAATGGGAGTCAAGTTGCTCGCCTTGGCATCTGGTTTGCTGTTGTTGACTGGGCCTTCTATCACGAGGCATATACCCAGGCGGAATGTTACTTTCAGAGGCAAAGGGCATTTGTTAGATGGATTCTTGGGATAACAACATGTTCGAAATCATCAGCGTCGATTGCCTACGATGAGAAGGTTCGCATGGTACGCACAAAGGCAGTATGTCAGCGGCAGCGGCTACTCCTGCGAGCAAGGATGACCAAGCAGACATCCTATCAAGATTGATCCGTTGTTCAACTAGTTATACGCGTCCACTGGCTGTGTTTGATTGGGTTCAGGGCACGTAACAAACGGGTCGAAATACTCTGGTCAGGTTGCGATCTGGATGGTATCGGGGGCGACTAATCGGAAAGGGCTTGATTAGAACCACTCGGCTCAGACAGAACCCCAAACTTCAACGCAGATGAACATTCGAATTTTCGGTTCTGTTGCATAGTGTCGCGCAATGCGCAAGGGAAAGGGCGAAAAGAACCACAATTTTACACAGAAGGGAAGACTTGGAAGATGGGCGGCGGCTGATAACAATAACCTTGTGCGGACGGGGTCAAAAGTAACTGCAGCATGATCCATCCTTTCCTGCTTGCGGACACTCCTTCGTGGATTCATGTGTGAATGATATGGAAGGGATATTATTCGTAAGGGAGCGCAGCATATTCTCTCTTACTGATTCACTGTCCTCTTAGCCAGCCATACACAGGGAAGAGGGCAAATTGTTTCACTTGCAACTGCTGGACCTATGAATCTGACATCTCATCATGCGGCCACAAAAGGAACTTATCGCAGAAGATCTCGGCAACCCCGAAAGACCTGGGAGATTCCGGGGAAGCAGAGCTAGTGAATGTAACATTCACGGCGATTGGCAAGCCCCGATGAGGCTGAACGCAATGAGCACCTCCGTAGCCGCTGTACGTTCGAGGTTGATTCATCAACACAGCAACACCTTACCAATGGAAAGGAGGGATACAAGATGAAAGATAAGTACACAATCATATTGTATTCATTCATGTTGCTAATGACTAGGCGAAGAAGAAGATAAAATCCTGATGTTGTTCAAATTATGGTTACCCCGCTGACCCTCATCCATCCTTGTAACTCGAGGTGGCATCGATGTTGGTTTGCCTAGTTTGCTTAACCAGCTGAACAATCTCAACATCCACGGTGCCCCCATCTTTCACCCAAAAGAAAAAAACTACTGCAAACTAGGCTCGCATGTCACAATCGCTGCCGCATGCGCCTTTGGCTACTATTGATCATGGACACCACAATTCGCTAGTTTGCAGCAGTGTTAGCCATGTTTGGATCCCTTGCATCCCAACGTCTGCATCGTGCGGTTGCATGTCCAATTATGTTGTTTTCCGGGATAAGACGTGGCGTGATATCCTGTGCCTCAGATACCTCGAACAGGAAACTCATTGAAAGAGAGCAAGCCAGCCTATTCGGTGAAGTTCACAGTTGAAGTAATGGCCAACAGGGCATTGTGCTCCCGGTTTTCGCATTGAGACTCTGCAAAGATCAGGGCCACTTTAATGATGGCAGCATGTCAGAATTATGTCGAACAAATCGGGCTGTGAACTTACCAGAGGTTCTGCAGAATGCCTTTTTGATGGTGTTCCCTCCCCCTGTTCCTTGAATAAGCTGCATCCTGAAGCCACAGGCCGAGCTTTGTTGCCTATGTCATTTTGGCCCCGTTCTCTCTGAGAGGATTGAACTCTCTCCCTCTTCGTTTTGTATTGGAATCCTTGGCTGGTTATGAACGACTTGTGCACTGTAAACGTCCGGCAAACTGAACCCTTCCCAGGGCTGATCGGCATCCGTCAACCAAGCCCACACCTGGGCTTCTTTAGTCCGATCCCCGGTAGATGCGGCTATGACCTCAATGCGAGTCTTGCCAAGAGAAGCTTTCGCTTGACTGTGGCATATTGTCTCAGTGCCGTGCGTGGTGGCATAACCACCCTTGGAGGGTACAGTGCGTGGCCAGCCGCTGTGAAATGCAGTTGTCAAGACTTTCTTCCGACTACTGCGTCTAAGATGCGTTGCTTTCGATGGATCCATGACATAAATATGATTGCAAGTAAACGCTTTCGGACTGATTGCTGTCTACTTCGTCCTTCATCGGCATGAAATCCTCCTGGCTCCTTCTATACTCTACCATGGCATGCGGCTCAATAGCAACTTGATCCTTTCAAAGACCTTAGGTACCCACATTCGTGCCCAAAGCAGTGAACTGTGTCAACTGCTAGTCGTACCTCAAGATCATTGCTGGGCACAGCCATGTGAGTACCGCCCCTGGTTCTCCTGGAGGCTGGCTCTGCGGACACTACGCCTCAGGGCTGTGGAATTTCTTGTGGCACTGTTCAGATTAGAGGAGAGAATCATTATTGCACTGCCCTATGATGCTGAATATTAGTCACACCTCCGGCTTGTCGGCTTTCAACCGCCCTGTCCAGCAGCATCATCGACAAATCTCATAGACGCTGCAAGGTAGACAATCCTCAGCACCCAGTCATCGCTACTGCTATGGTTTGTTCCCTGCCATGCGCACTTACGGCTCTACCTAAATCGCAGACCGAAAGGATCCATGGCGACGTATAGTTCCCGAACTTTGAGCGGCCTCAATGGAAACGTGTTCATTGAAAAGGTCCAAAGATATGCGTCTTGCTTGTCGCTGTACAGGAAACAGCCAGAACCAAAAGTGCTGCATGTCTACTGCCGCTGCCTTCTGGTATCTGGCACACAGCCCTGGGATCGACTTGAATAAGGCCTAGCTAATAGTTTGGTGAAGCTGCACAGCTTTCCTCAGCATCGCCTCCTTTTTCACCACGACATGACGTACATTGCCCTTTCATGCGCACTCCCCACGACAAGACAGTAAGCAACTGCGAAAAGGCCCAGCTCACCGAGAGTATCCTACTCACATGCGCGGATCTCAGTGTCCGGAGGCTAAGCGCAATAATCGGCTTTCGGAGATCCTTCGATTGATGTTTGCGCCAGTCTCTGGATTAGCAGAGTCCACAGAGTGTGAGTTTTCTAGGGTTCTATACAAACACCTACCCCTTAGGCAACCAGTTTGTCGAGCTTTCTACCAATCATTATGTTCTCTCGTGCCAAATCACTAAAGGTGCTATCAAGGGGCTTTCTCGGAATTCGGAATTTCAGGCGCTTTTGATGCCTCTCTGAGGTATCTGCATTTGGCCTGCTCACATTAAGTTCCGGCTTCCAACGCAAATCCCTGAGTGACATAAAGTCCGACCCCATACGTTGTGCCCAGCACAAGTTCATGAGCTAAAGGAAAATTGGCAATTTTCACAAATGAGTTTACTTAATGCCTCATCTGGCAGGCTTGGTCTGGGTTCTCGACTCCTTCAAATCGGGGGTTGCTACCTCTGGCTTATAACGCCATTATCGCTGACAACAAATCTACCTCAACTTTCAACCACTACATCATCAGAAAAGCATATTGTCAATCATTGGAACATCCAAATTCAAGTGAATTCATTTCCATGGTCTTTTCAACCTTGGCAAATGTGAGGTGTCGTCGATCCGGCCTGAAGGTGATTGGTCGTATAGACGCAGAGCCGCGCCAGTGGCCTTACCAGGTCAACGCACGAAGCGTTGGAGCACTAATTGAACAAACCTGGCATTGGTAGACGCACTAAGTGGCAGAATCGTAGTAGTCTAATTACCGATAGTGACCTGGTCCTGGTGATCTGGGTACTCACTCGTCACACATGATTGCTAGGCGTGCAACGACCCAAGAGCTGATCAGTTGGCTTGTGCTTGGCGAAGGATCTCGTACAAGTACAAGTACAAGTACAAGTTATATAATCTGGATAGTAGAAGCTATCGGCTTGTTCTGGATCAATGTCACATGTGTAGGGCTCAAGAATGCATTGGGCCGCTACATGTGTACCGTCCCATTCACTGTGACCCAAAGTCCCAATGACTGGACCAGACAATTCAAGCCTTACCCAACCACCCGCCTATCTCACAAAACACAAATGAATATGTCAGAGCTTTCTGAACAGTAGTGAGGGTATCCGCAGTAATGATTCGAGCGCCGGAACTTCCAGGCGAGACTAGCTCTTCGTCAGCCTCACTTTTCTCGGCCTACGTATCCATATCGACCAGTCGATTCCATTGCACATATTACATCCAATCAAGAAGTTGTGATGTTGCTGCGTTTTATACAACTCACATGTCATCGATTATATGCGGACGCGATTCGTGCTCCTGATATGTTGCACAAGCGCGAGAGGGTGTGGAATCTTCAGGGACCAGTTTTCATATGTAAAGAACTTAGTGATAGATCATACTGGAGGAAAATGTTACATATTGGGCCATGTTGTGGAAGCTAATTGGACCGATGAATCAATCTGTTTATGCCTGACAAGCTTACAGCTGCTCTGCTGGTGAATGTTACTGATGTGATGTGATATGAGATGCATGAGCAGTGCTGACATATTGAAAACTCAGTGACTTTGCTCCCTTAGGAATAAATCCTAGTCTTATCCGCTTATGACGATCAAGTTTGCGCAAGAAACTCAATGTTATGAGCCCATGCCTCTCAGAACCAAACAGTAGAAGGCGATATGAAAGAAAAGATAGACCGGTTGCCCTAATGAGTACGGAGTAAAGACGGAGGAAGCCCGAAAGGGTCCACTTTTCCCGGCCGTGACACAAGGACAACTCTCTCGCCTTTTACTCTGTAGATACCATCATTTAATTTTGAGCGTCACAATATCTCCCCAAAACCAAGTTCAAAGCTTATTCAAGTTTTTCCATGCATATGTTGAATTGACCAACACACTCGCTTCGAGTTCTACAGTTTCTATAGGCGTGTGTCTGAAGCATAGAAGCCATGAAGCCTCAACTAGTTATGACCTTGACATATTTGTAACATTCAAAGAACCATACAAGTATCATATCACAGTGTAGTAGGGAGAGACAAGAAGTTAGATCAATCGTCGTAATAAAATTTATACAAGATATGCAACTGAAAAGCCAGCGCACAATCTATTTACAAACAGAAAGCCATCTGCAAAGATGCAGTTTCATCGCCCTCCACTAGGGAGAAACAAATCCTTTTTTACTGGCAAAGAAGGACATGGACACGTCACGGACATGTCGCATGTTGCTCACTCCCCGCTTCTCAGAACTCTTTCGAACTCTTTACAGGGATCGGCGGGCAGCACGGCGAGCACGGCGGCGCTTAGAAGAGCAGCCGGTCTTGGGAGGAGTGACGGGAGCAGAAGTGGGAGCGGAGGCACCCTCGGAAGGTCGGACAACGGTGGCGAAGGTAGGAGTAGGGGCGGGAGCCTGAGTCTCGGAGCCGGCGTTGCCACCAGCGGGCTGGGTAGCAACAGGGGCCTCAGCAGCAGCGGAGGTAGCGGCGGGAGCCTCAGCGGCGGCGGAGGTGGCAGCAGGAGTCTCGGGAGTAGAGCCAGAGTCGGAACCAGAGCCGGAAGAGGTGCCCTTCCAGACGGCAGGGCCGGGGATGTCGTAGGTGGTGTAAGAACCGTAGAGGTTGAAGACAATGCCCTTGTCAGTGGAGGTGTAGCCCTTGTTGAAGTCGAACTTCTCATCAGGGACAGCAGTGCCGGAGCCAGTGACCTCAACTTGAGCGCAAGAGGGGTAGAACTGAGCACCACGGGCGGGGTTGGAGGCGTAGGCAACGTCGGACTCGTGGTGAGCAATGATCTCCTGGCGGACAATGTACTTGCCAGCCTTCAGGGCAGAGGGAAGGGTGAAGGTGGACTTGCCCTTAGCCTTGATGAGCTTGTCAACAGCCCACTCACTGCCATCGTAACCGTCCTCAGCAATCTTGGTCCAGATAGCACCAGTACCGTCGGTCTCGGTGTAGGGAGCAATGTAGGTAATGATGGGACCCTTGTGGCTGCCATCGATGATATCATCTCCACGGTTATCGTGGTACCACTCGAAGGTGAGCTCGTCACCGGAAGCAGCCTTGACGAACTTGGGAGCAGCCTTGCCACCGTTGACGTTGCAGACGAGGTTGGGGCTGGTGAGGTCCTTGACGGGAGAGTTGCTGGCGGGAGATCGGATGTAGACGTTGCGTCCATCACCCTGGTCCTCACCGTTGACCCAGAGGCCGTAGACCTGAGCGTGGGCCGAGACGGTGGTGGCCATGGCCAGAGCAGCAGCGGAAGCGGAGAAACGCATCTTGATAGATAGTTATATGTTTGAGTTGATGTTGGTTAAAAAGGATTGGATGAAGCGGGAAATCGCGGAAGTAAAAAAGTTCGAGCTTCGGTGGTTTGTTAGAAAGAATGAAGGTTTGGCACAGCCAAGTTGAAAGAAAGTGAAGATAGAAAGAAGAAAGACTGATTTTGCTACGACGAGTGTGGAGAGAAAGAAAAGAAGGTATTGGGACGACGAAGGATGTCGACTTATATATCAAATCCCGACGCCTTGAGCTTTAGATTAGGCCCTGGATCCAACTATTCCTGTTCCTGTTCCTATCCTGACCCCTCCTATTCCTTTCCAAGGCGAAAACTACGGTCAGTCCCACCACATGTATCAGCTCACTTCAGTTCAGTTGGCTTCATCTCGTCAAGAAGCCATGCCATGAGCTCAAACATGGTGTGCTGGGACCATCTCCAGCGAGTGACAGTTGAATCTAGATTAGATCAGGGAACAAATCTACCCTCAGGAGAAGGGTCCCTTGCAGTTCAGGCGTCTCGCCTATGGTGCGTACCCCATAACGACATAGACATTGATAGACGGAAAAATAAGCTCATATGCAGCAAACGCATAGCGGAAATTGAAACCCTTGGGCCTGGGCCAGGGCGGCTGGCTTACGGAGTACACTACGCTAGACTCCGGGGCCTGCTGTCAAAAAACCAAGGCGTTACGCTAAACCCCTGCCAAGTTCGGTTTGAGGCTCTATAGGAGGCTCCCATGATTGGATGAGTGTCTAACGGTGAAACCTAGCCCCTCGGCACCTTTAATATCGGAGCACACCCCATTGGAGCGATCCCGCCAACGCCACCGTTCCCGTCCACCGTTCAAGTCTAAAATATCCCAGCCCAGACACCGGCGAGTCTATTCTTTTCGAGAAGTAGGCGCCGGTAAACGATGGGAATATCAATTCTCTTCCTCTCCTGCACTCTTGGCAGATCCGCTTCTTCACCTGAAACTGTAGAATTGCCATCTCCGACTGGGGGAGAATTTCGTATGTGCGACCGAGGTATTTTGGTGTCTAGTTTCAAGGGGTTATCCAAAGATGATAAGTTTTCCTCGGGGAGTTGCATTCTCTTGAAACGAGTCGTGTATGTTTGTACGATGCGAGGATGGCATCGGACGAGAAATGCAAACGAGAGTGTTTCGACAAGTTTGGTGTTTCTTGTCTGTCAGATCAAGACAAACAACGTACAATCAATTCAAAACGATAAAACGATATGAAACAAAGAAACAGATCTATTTGAAGAGCATCACTTCGATTGGGTTGCCAAAATCATTGTCTGTGGTTACGATGGGTATACGTGGTTATGAATAGTCACAAATGACAGTCTGATTAACCTTGGGATTAACTATACTCAGCATTAAGTTTAAGCATAGGGCTCGAAGCTTGAAGGTAAATACTAAGCTTGAATAAAGGATGAACCGACCTGACAAGGGCCTGTCAGAGCTTATCCCCCTGTGCAACGTAGTCCTTGTAACCTCTCTAACGCAAGCTGTTTGAGGCGCGGCGCTAATAAAATGCTACCCTACAGATCGACAATACAACATCGGGAGCGTAACGCCATCTGCCATTGCTACTGTAACCACAGAAGGCTTGGAAGAGTATTCTAGATAATATCAGAGATATGGATAAATATTATAGAGAAGCATAGTAACTATTACTTTTAACTAATACAGAATCACTCGTAAGAAGAGAAAGCGATGGAAAACGATGCGAGTCATGGTACATAACATGGCAGGTCTTATAGTTCCCTACAGAGTCTCCGTAGTATTGTCTGTTGTGATGCACAAAGTTAATGCTATGCGAAACAAGGTACCACGGCCCGAGAACTCCGTCTCGATAAACGCAATTCGGAGTGACGAACCGTAGAGCCGCTCTCCTTTTGAGAACCAAACTGTCGGCTCTGTTGGGGATATCCACTCAAAATCCGATACACATCCCAGCATCCCTAAATTAGAGTGTCCTCGGAGAGCAAGAAAACTTCAGACTTTAGAAAAGGGTGCTAAGATAAACTTGGTAAGAAGTACCCTAAGCGTAGGCTAAAAGCACCTAAGTCTTTTGTCTCTTAGGATCAAAGGTCCTAAGCTTTCTTTCCTCCCCTAGAGTGTAACCCTAGAACTCAAAGTCCAGATTGCGAGGATAAGGTCAACTGCAAGCACATATATTTCTATCTGTATTGTGCATAATTATAGATTGACTAGAAGCGAAACGACGAATGGCTGAAATCACTATATATATCCTGGCGATTACTGTCATTGTGGGAACACGTTCCTCGAGACTACCCGTATTAGACAGTAGCCTATTCCTTTCAGGGAGCAACTCGGTCATTACACAAAGCTTCAACTGAGTATGCGCAGCATATAAACTTGAAGTCCCTCTTCTGCGCAGTAGTTTCCCTGGATCGTGACTTGGTGTTCCAAATTGTGTACTCTGAGGCCAGCTTTCGATAGGTGCACCAACCTCCAACCCAAGAAATGCCCTTCTTGAGCTTTAATGTACGAATGCACTCTCGACTTATTATCACTGGTCGGCCGATCCTGGTGTCCTCTGACTGCAGCTGGTCATATGGGTCATCGGAATCGTAGTCCTGAATGAAGGCATACGTATTTCTGAGGCGCTTTTGGTCGCATGGGGATGCAAGCTCGCTCATACAATGTAACGAACCTTGACAGCACCCCAGACATTCCCACCATCGGCTCAAACGCGCCACACGATCCTCTCTGTAGTATGTTCTCTTGCGTATCTGATGCTTCTTTGCTTCCCATCGAAAGTTCCATTCGACGAGACTCCTGCCGTTCCAGTGGTACCGAATACCATTGGGATAGTGCTCTAACCAGTGGGAGGAAGAACGAGACTCAAGAGGGGTTCTGGAAGAAGCTGTGGCCCAAGGAACCGCACGAAGATGCGAGCATGTTTGTCGCAGGCGAAGAACTTCCTCTGTCGCGTAAGGATCAAATAGTGCTCTCAGACGCCGATTGATCTTGCTAGAAGCTCCAGCAAGTCCACCACTATCTCTTCCAGCAACCCATTCATGGAGGCTAAAGAAATTCATTCGTGACGAAGACATCGTCTTGAAACGATGCAAGCGCAACATATCCATACAGCCTCCGACAGGGCCAACCAAGTTATCCAGTAGAAATTGATACCTGGCCCTGATACTCTTTGTGTGGTAGTTGATATGTTCCCAGGCCAGCTGGTCCGGAGCCCCCAGATTATCAGACCATCCTGGTCTCCAGCTTATATCTTCAACTAGCATCCTGGCCGCATACGCCGCGATATTCTTCTGTAAGTTGAGAAGTGTCTCCTTGAATTCCTTTCGTATACAGTCAGGTATGGTATTGCGAGCTGGTAGCTGATAGCCTCGATGCCCATGACTCCGTACCGCTTTATCGTGTAGAATCGTGGGCACACTTGGCAATTTAGCCCAAAAGATAAGAAAGTATTCATAGAAGTAGGGCATCTGTGCCCGGTCTGTTATATACTTCCTTAATGGATCCTCGAGTATCTTTGTGGCTCGGCACTCCCAGAAGTTCTTTGCTTCTCTTGTTGACTGACTGGATTGTATACCTTCAGTGGTAAAACTAATGGTGATTTTGGCGTCTGGGGACCACCCCTTGCTTTTGCGAAACACTGACCTGTTGCGGATGTAGAAGTAGACATCATCCATCTTAGCAAACATCATCATAAACGCCCCGACAAAGTAACCTCGTCTTGGGGCGCGTAGTACCACGACGATGTCATCGATATTTCTCATCTTGCCAAGACGCAAAACCATAGGATCGTTCATATCTTGGATGGCGCTCACAGCATGGCGAATGTGACCGTTCTGCTTCCAGTAGTAATCAAACTTGAGCCAAATTCCGTGGCCATACGTCGAGTCTACTAAAATCTTGAGCTTGTGAAGTTCGTCGACGTTATCAGGGAGCTGGCAGTAATGAGAGAATTCGTCTCTGGTCTGCCGACAGCATCTCAATAGTCCGTTTGAATCTCCGGTTGAAGCTGAAAAGCCCCAGATCATTTCCCTCAACTCAAAAGGAAGGTGAAGTAAGCGACTTATGTGCATCACAGTACCCATTTTGTTGGCAGACGTGGTGTTTTTGCGAGTTTCGAGGAGTGACGCAGAGTACAGAGGGTTGAGTACGGAATCCCCTACTTATAGTATATATTAACTTTTACTTCTTGTAGACATGAGTGACTCACTATGAGAGAGTTTTGGATCACAAAATAGCTCTGAGGCATGAACGTTTATTTAGACACAGTTTGAGTAAACTAATCTAAATTATGACATTATTACTCTAAAATTGCCTAAAGTTAGCCTTCTACTGAGAGTACTTTCGGTTGGCATTCTTGGTACCTTTGTGCGATCAGATCACAACCCATAGCTCATCCCTTAAAACTCCCCAGCTCTTCATAAGCAGGTATTCTCCAAGCCCCCTTATTCTCCGGCAATACAGCAAGAATCGCCTTATCAATCTTAAGCTTGGTGATAAGCCCAATAATGGAGTACTGCAGCTTGATCCCAAAGTTCGTCTTTGGATATGCAATACCAGGGATGAACGAGGGCAGTTTTTGAGACTTCTCAACGTACGGTCTCAGAGTATCTTCATACGCCTTCAGAGCTCTGGGGATATCATGGCCATGTCTCGCGATTTCTCCGCTGAGGACACAGGCTCCTATCAAAGCGAGCGTGGTTCCCACGCCCGTCAGCGGAGATGGAGCATATCCTGCGTCACCCAGCAGAACAACTCTCCCTTTAGACCACGTCTTGGTCTTGATCTGCACAATAGACTGTGCGTAGAAGTCTTCGGTCTCATGCATGGCCTTGATGAGTCTCGGAGCCTGCCATCCTGCATCCTTGAAGATCTCTGCAAAAAGCCTCTTCTGAGCATTGACGTCCTGACTCATAACCTCTTTCAGCTCTTCCACGTGGGACATTGTCATGAGATATGCTTGGCCTCTATCCTTCGAGTGCCAACGCGTTGAGATCACGCGGCGGCCTGGGGCGCTGTATACAGTGGCAAGATTCTTATCGTCTGCTTCGCGTGGCAGGTTATAGTAACATCCATTCAGATTGAGGTCGCGCACGTGAACAGCTTCAGGGTCATCAGCGAATAGCTTTCGGCGGACTCGCGAGCCTTGACCGTCCGCGGCAATGACAAGATCGTAGCTCTCATCAGCTCCATCCGAAAATCTGACTTTAACCTTATCGCCAACATTCTCAAAGCTCTCAATCGATGTTCCGAAGCGATATTGGGCTCTCTGTTTCGTCGCCTCGTATATGATCTTGCACAAATCTCCTCTCATGACTTCAAACTCACTTGTGAATGACTGTCTCCCTTTCCCCGAATCATTCCTTTCGAGTAGAGCTTTCTGCCTCCCTTGCGAATCAACCCATTGCAGGCCATCTTCATCAACAGCTTTATTTCGGATCTCTTCCAAAATCCCCATGCGCTTCGCAGCCTCGATGCCTTGGCCCCGAATATCAATCTGTTGACCTCCAGTGCGTAAGGAGGGGAACCTTTCTATAATGGTGCAGGAATGGCCAAGACGGGAGAGCCAGAAAGCGGCAGATGGACCAGCGATGCCACCGCCTGAGATAAGAATCCGAAATTTTGACATTTAGAAACACGCTGTGTCTAATAGCTACCGCTATACGTGGAAACGCAGTGCATGAATGCTCGCTAAGATATTCGCTGTGAACACGCTGATAATGAATGCGTCGTAAAAGACCCTGGAACTTCGCAACTAACGTTGAATGTGGACAAGATAATCAGGGTCTCTGTCTATAAATGGCTGCTTCTTTAGAATTCTAGTAGGAAATGTAGGTGTCATTGACTTTAAGGATTTAATCCTGGACTAGTCTGGTGTTAAGCTGTAAACAGCATATCCCTCTCTAATTGGTTAGATTGAACCTACTATGTAATTTCCTTAGCTAGAAAAGGTTAACTTAACCGCTACCTTAGATTAAAGAAAATAAGGCTTTTTTAATTAATACTAAATTACTTATTATAACTAATCTATACTTTATATAATAGTTATAAGCCTAAATAGAAAGTAATTTTTAGTAACTTTTACTATATAAGTTAATAGCTTTTTAGTAATTTTTTAATTCTTTTTAAATTTTAATTATTTAAATTCTTTAAACCTTAAACTTTAATATATAATTTTATTACTAAAAAAAAAAAACCCTTAACCTTTTAAATAAGTATATAAGGCTAAGGTTTA